CTTCCCCCTGTCTATTTTTTCTTCTTCGTTTTCTTCTTTGTTCGTTAACGATACGGCGGTGATTAACGGCTGATAAATGCGATCTGATACGTTGATGATCCCTCTTTTTTTTTAAATGATATGTACAATCCCTTGTTGCCGTGTCGTTGACGACCGTGATAAATGTATCTGATAGTATTTTGATTGTTTTCTTCCGCCAAGAGGCTCAACTCGGAAGCTTGTTGGATTATTAATTAAATCCTTCTATATAATCAGTATGCATTTTATACAAAATCACGAGTCTTAATTAACTGTACGACAATATGTTAACAATGGTTATTAACACGTTGTCACAGTGAAACATATGTACACCCTATTACCGTCAATCTTTTCGCTTCAAAGTTACTTATTAAAATGTTACATCTTTGTGCACGAGTTAACGAAATATAAAGCGAGTGTAAAATTCTGTACACTTGGAATTCTTGTCGAATGTCCTGCGAAAGTTTTCAACAGACATTCCCACGAATTAAAGCCACGTTAATTCGTACTTTTCCCTCTCGAGCCGATCGGCGCAGTTAAAATATGCGGCCTCGATTGCTAGACACCCTGCGCGGAGAATATCGATGGACCGTTACGGACGGAAGTTAACGTGATTGTTCGATTTCGAGAGAGTTAGAGCACATTTTCTCTCTTTCTCTGTCGATCCACTTGTCGATGAAATCTTTGTCCGTGGAGAGCGCGTGCAAGTGCTTGGAAAACATCGAGCGTTCGATCAAAAATAGATTTTCCAGCGGGGTCCGTCGGGGTTTATCACCGGGGTATTGTGCGAGCTCGGCTCAAGTTCCCCCCTTCAGGGACTTCTTGAACTTTCGGAAGGCCGGACTTGGCCACGGAAAACACAAAGACTGTCCATTTGCCATCTAATAATAATTGGAAAAGTTATCGCCGAGATGAAGTTTTCCCCGCGACTAACATCTCCACCGCGGACCATTTCTGTAATGTAAAATGGAGAAACTTTCGCATCGAGGAATAACTTCCGGTGCTTTTGAATGATATTACTTTCTTTCCGCAGCAAACACCGTCGCGGCTTTCTTTCTACGGAATTTTAACCAGCGATCCGAACAAACTGACTGCAACGTCTTCATAGATAAATTAATTTCTTCCTTTCTTTCATTAACTTCGCCCTGCGACATGCAAGCTAATTTTTATACATTGACGCGGTGACACTCTGTAATAATGGGAGTACGTATAATCAATAAGTTCGATGCATTTATCAATTTTCAAACGAATGAAAATTTCGATCGCAAGTACCATTTGTAATATTTAATAGAACTGAAACAGCGAATATACCATTATAATATTTAGGCTGACGGGTCCTTGATCCCATCATCGAATTTACCGACCCCAGTATTCTTCGAGATCACTTCGCAGTGACCCCACCGACGAAATTTTTCAATTACGCCCACTGCGATTTAATATTCCCTCGATCGAGCGGCGCATCGTTGCACTTTTATTCCCATGCGCACGAGTCGCATAATTAATCATCGCGTCGTCACGATTGCGTCTAAATTGATAACATAATAGGCGGGCAATCGCGGCCACTTTGCGAGCCCGTTGCACATTCATAACATCGACAAGTTGACGCACCGTCATCAACGAAATTGTGTATCGGCCATTGTGGAGAAATACTCGTCCGGGCGGTTGCAGCCGAATTAATGATCGACGAGTCCGGTCATTTCGATCATTCGGTCAATTCCTAATCGAACTCGGCCGAGCGGCGTTTGTTGGCCGGAAGTGATTTTTCGCGATCGATATGCCGGCTGTTTACGCGCCGTTTCACGAATCAAGCGGATCCAATCGAGCAGACTGACGTCGTAATTACATTTGTACCTGGCGTCCAGCTTGTTCCTCATGGAAAATCCCATTGATTCGCGTTTATTGGAATTATTTTACAAACGGCCACGCGGACAGGAGGGACGAAAAAAGGGAGACCGGCGCGAGCCATTATTAATTTTCCGAGCCGGTTCAATTAAATCGCCTGGCGACATCGTCAGCGGGGACAAAGTCTCTCCTGCAACCCCTAACTCGAACGCTTTTCTTTTTGTTCGCTGCCTTTTGTTTTTGCACCGATGCGCCTCTGACGCTGCTCAGTTTGTACTTCCATCGTCAAGGGTTGCGTGTCGAGGGTCGTGTTTCGTGTTCACCGGACAGGAGGGGATTCTTAACCCTTTTGTTAGCGAACTTGACTGTAGGCATCTCGTGTCGAGTGGCCACTGTGCGTTAAAGCTGACTATACTCAGATAACTGTTATCACAGTAGCAAAAAATAAAATATTTATTATATAACCTATAACCTAACCATGTGAAACATACTGTATCTAAAGCTACTAGTCTACCCTGTTCATAATACAAGCTTATATTTATACAGAACATTATTTCCAATTCTTCGAAATGCCAACAAACTATTTTAGTTTTCCACGTCTAAAATGTCGCAGAACAAAAAAAGAAGATAAATTGTTTAAGTTCGTCATCGACCGCTTCAGGAGGCAGCGATCGAGTGTCATTGATCGCGAACGCTATTTAGGGACATCGAGGCCATGTTAGACGGGCGTCGTTTACCATTTGAACGGCGGCAATAAAAGGAGCAGCATACCGGGAGCCAAGCTACGAAACGTCCTTCCGGGACGGTAAAACTGTCCTCGTACGCAGCAATAAAATGTCACGTGTCCCAAGATCCAATTCGATTGCACGTTGCGCGATCGTGGCGTAGCAATGGACATTCCAGTCCATGCTGTATCAATTCGTGGCTGGAATCCGGGCAAGATGGACGACGTACCGGGCGGACGATACGCGCCGTGTCCGTTCATCGAAGCGTAAGAGGATTCAAGTAACCGGAATCCTTGACAGGAGCCGCGATCCCGACACCTTCGGGTTTTTCCTAACCCAAACACCACCGTGTTCGACGAATCCTGGCGTTTAGACGCGACAACCACGCCGATGGGGAAACGCGTTTCGACAGCGGGCACAACCAAGCGGAAGTTTAAATGCATTTCTAAAGGCGAGACCGCCGGACCGAAGAAAGAGGATGTGACGTCGTGACACGCTTGATTTCAGTGGAATTTTTAGGTAATTCCGTACCCGAGGTAGATGCTTCTGTCTACGGGTAATTTGATTAACACCTTCGCTGCTGCTGTGGTCCCTTCAGACCGGCATCTTGGATATCAGGTTAGGTGGACGTGGAATTTTAGGACTTCTTAAGTGTAGGTCAATTTGGAATTTTGGGACTTTGAAACTGTAGGTCGATTTAAGGTTTTGAAGCGTTGAACTTTGGGATATTGAGAAATTTTAGAACCATGGAATCTTGAATTTTCTGAATATCGGTCTTTGGAAAGGTCGGGACTTTGGAAAGCCCATATAAGCGTGGGAAACTTTACTTTGAACGAAATTTCTCTTAACAAAAACTGGTACCAATAAATATTGCATTGTACCCATACCGACATATTGCAAATAAAATAACTAATAATAGTAATAATAACTATCTAAAAAACTCTGCCTAACTCGCCTCCATGTAATGACCCGTAATTTAAGGATTCGAGTCACAGAGAATTTAACTCTGAAAATACGAAAGTAATAACTGGAGTTAATTACTTATTAACATGGTCGCGTACATCAGTAAGTTTTTACATTTAGATTTTTATAAACCCGAGTTAAAAGCAGTGGAGAGATACCTTTCTGAGCATATTTCATGTCTATCATTCGTATTCATCATTTACTCTTCAAAAGCTTCTACTGCCAAAATAACTGGATTGGTCATTCCATCCTTGTATTCAAAGAGATTGAAATTAAAGCTGTGCTAAGGTTTATCGTAGCTGGCTTATATCATATTCGTATGCTTTTCATCATCGATAATCGGGGATTTCAACAAATCCGTCCATTGAATTTAAAATTTTCATTACATGCATCGCCCGTTCGGACGACATTGCGGAATCATTCATCATTTTAATTTCATTGAAACATCCATCAATTTTCACGTTCGCGTATGCACGGTCCGTTGTTTTTTCTGGTTAACAAAATATACTGGATGGGTATTATTTGTTTTATTTTGCCGCGGAAGAGAAATGTGACGGTTAATCAATTATTCTAAAAATTGATTTCTGCCTCCATGTTTTTTCCATTCCAGTCATTCGCTAACTCTATATCTTACCATCTCATATCGCAACCGCTTTCGAAAACACTGTTGTTCTCATCGGATGGCTAACTTTTATATTAATTATATCGTAAGTTTTAAAATAGTCGAAAGACATTTAACACTGACTGTATCAAAATGATCGAATGACCGGTTCAAATTTTTATTTTAAAATATTGATTTGGGGAAAGTACACATGTGTCATCAGACATATAATATAGATTGTTACTAACAAGGGTAAATTGTTTTCAATCTATTATAATATTGAACATTAAAGGTCCACAAAATTTGCTATTATTTATTTTTCCTGCAAATAATGAATTTATCTGACTTTGTAGTTCACCATGACAGTCAACGTTAAGATACTTTTCTTAAAATCTCCGTTGACTCCAAAGATAAAGAGCTACTGTGTATTTAATTATACTTTATCGTTTATTTATCTCCCTTTTTCAACTTCAATCGCATTGCGTGTAAACAAGTAAGCAGAAGCTACGTGTTTTACGATGGAACTTTTTGATTAAAGTAACCCCATTTTTTACTCCCCAACTTTTGACTGCAACCAGCTTAATTTCAACGTAGCAATTCCTTTTTCGAGCCGAGCACGTTCTTTCCATCCTCGCCGGTCCAAGAAACAATCGAGTGCATATATTCGAGCGAGTGTACACCCTGTACACGCGTACAAATCGTCGTGTCTCCCGGTGACCACCACAGTTCCCGGTTTTATTCCCTGAAAATACGTTCGCCGGGAGAATTTGTCTGAGCGTCGAGAGCGTCGTCGACGTCCAAGTGATTTATAGACAGCGTTGTAACCGGACGTTTCGCTTTTTCTGTTTCAGATGTGAACTGTTGCCAGAAGTATTATCGATTCGCATTACGCATGAAGTAATTGGAAATCGCAGTGGGCAAAGTGAGTCCCTTTTAACCTCTTCAAGTAGAACTACTTATGGTGTGTCATCAAATTATTACGAACGATAACACGAGTTATTACTGAAAATATTCTGTTTGTGGCAGGTGTCATGTGACAAGTGTCATGGCAGGTGCTTGTCACGTGTCGTACTTTCAATTTCAGAATATCAAAGAGTATGTTCAGGAATTTATTTCAAAATTCATAAAAGTCACTTAACTGATAATTCGTGCAGATGTTGATTATAAGTTAGAAGTCAAAATGGTCGAGTAGCTTGAAGATGTCCCAGGATATAGCCATTCATATTTCTGAGTGAAACGCAAAGAAACTCGTTTTCTGCTAGTGAACACTCCGTCTATTTATTAATTTGATGATGCATTCTTTCTTAAAGCGGAACGCTCGGAAAGATGCAACGAATTCTATTGTAGTGGGGTAGACACTCGATTACTGTTCGAGAGTTTCTTGATCAGAAATATACTTAAAGAAGTCCTAAAATCCCAAAAGTTGCAAACTTCCAAAATACCTAAAGTTCTCTAATCGAAGACATCAAAAAGTGATCTAATGACTTTCATATTTTTCTGTTGCAGGATTACCCGACTGTCGCGCGACGTTTCTCTCTACTTATTATCAAGAAGTATTTCTTACTATCGCAATTGTACTCCGTAACACGGTGTTCTCACCTAAGTAAACGGTTTATTCGTATTTTTGAGACTCGTGATAGCTTCGTAGTGTGCAAATGTAATTAGGGCGATGAACAGCGATAAACAAACCAAAACAAAAAAAAACAACAGAGCGAAGGAAAAGCACGGAAAAAAGAAACGAACAAACAGAAGAAGCGGAAGAAGAATGACGACTAAATGAAAACCACATACACACACAGACACACACAGAGAGCATACTACCTTTAATTAACTCGTAATTGCAACGAAGTAAACAAGTTTTTTCTCTTTCTACTCGAACTCGAATAGTTTATTAAAACCGATCGATCGAATAATTGTAAGGATACCTATCGATCGATCGATCGGATGAACCTAGAGGGGTCTAGCGTGTCTCCTCCGATGAGCGTTCTCTTGTTTCTCGTCGAGCGGGAGATTTTCATTGTACATAGCGAGAGTTTTGTATATTTGTAATATAGATAGGGCATTTTATTATAAACAATAAAGTTATTTATATATATTTTAATCACAACACGGAGAAGAATGTTTTCCTTTCATCCCGTTACGGATCGGTGAGCATCATCGATCCACATTTAGCCTCGCCATCGGTTGATCAGCCACTCGAGTCTGGGATTCATGGAGCGTCACGATCTAAAATTCTATCAACCGGTATGTATTATGTACGCTCGTTAAAGGACCACGTTAACGACGACGTTTGATGTCATTAGACGTTCAGCTGCCTCCGTTGTCCGCTAACGAATCTTAACTTTCTTTAACAGCAAATTTCTGTCAACTTCGGACGGTAAGTTATCATTTCAAAGCGTAAAATAATCATACAATACAACTCTTCGATTTCAATTGGCTGAAGTATCTCATTGTTTGTACAAAATCGAAACAAAAATGTCTATCTTTACGATAACAAATTAAGTACATATTCAACGTTGATTATTAGAAGAAGATACCTTAGGTAAAATTCTGCATCAGCGTAGAAAAAAGCGGGTCTTAGAAAATTAAACTGAATATCTGGGGCAGAAAGCCTCCGTAAGACTCGACATCTGTAAAAGTGATGCTCCAGAATCAGCGTCCCATTCTGTTCTCGCGAATCCAGCCAGCAGTATTCGCGAATCATCAGCATCCCCCTAATGAACTCCGATCATTTCCCCGGAGCCCTGTTTAACGACCGCAAAAATCGTCCACGTAGTACGTCATCGGGTCCCTTTCTCGCACCTGGATACGAATTCACTTGGAACTCCAGACTGGAACAATGCGAGCCGGGTTTGTTGAAATATAGGTTAATAGATCTTCGCGAGACAGATGGAATCGCGGACCCGGTATCGCGGGCTATCTTTCACGAGTCTGCCAGGCTCGTTCGAAGCTACGTAAAGGCGAGTTCTTAGTAATTACGCGAGCTTCGCTGAAAGCTGCTCGCACATCCGTAAAGGGGAACGCTCTCGCCCACTTTTATAATTATTCCCGTGGACTCGCGAGTCGGAAAATTACGAGAAGTCGGCGAGCAGTGCATCGCCTGGCTCGTAATAACGGGTCCCGCCGGGAAACCTTGTTACGCTTAATTCTTTGCCCACCATCTCCTCCGACGTCGAGCCTCCGGTCACCGACGATGGCCCTTCAGCTTTCTAACGTCCTAACGATCGAGTTATGCTCATAATTGCGCCACGGCTCCAATACCCGCCTCGAAACAATTACAGAGACTCGTTCCACTTTATCGTTAAGTACCACTCTTTATGGATTCGATTCCCTCTCCATATTCCATCTAACCACTAACTTTCTACCATTAAATTTATTAACCTGATCAACTCTACTTAAATAGATTAACTTCTGAATTAAATTGCAACTGGCAAATATTTTTTCCTTCTATTATAAATATATACTCAACCTATTTATACAAATTATTTATAAGAACAAGAGATATGTCGAGTCACATAAAAGAGCAAAGGGATAATTTCTTAACACATAAATAGATTAAGCTCTGAATTAAATTGCAACTGGCAAATATTTTTTCCTTCTATTATAAATGTATATTCAACCTTTTTATGCAAATTATTTATAAGAACAAGAGATATGTCGAGTCACATAAAAGAGCAAAGGGATAATTTCTTAACACATAAATAGATTAAGCTCTGAATTAAATTGCAACTGGCAAATATTTTTTCCTTCTATTATAAATGTATATTCAACCTATTTATGTAAATTATTTATAAGAACAAGAGATATGTCGAATCACATAAAAGAGCAAAGGGATAATTTCTCAACACATAATTTACCCATTCTGATTTGCAGTAATTATTCTTATCTAACGTGTTTCCTACTGCCACGTTATGTGGAAGCAATTTAGTAGTTACGTCAATTAGCAGAAAGTCAATCTTGCCCTCCTTTACATTACGGATTCCAATCTAAAGGACCCCGGTACTATGTCCAGAGACATTCCCCCTTGAATTCATCGATTCAGCAGGGCGAGCTATATCTGAATGAATCGTCACGCGTTCAACAGCCTTAATTATCGAAAGACGTAGAACGCAGGGGTGCATCAAAGCCGTCCCCGCCGCGAAAAGAGCTAATGATCGATGCTGACCGTGCTCGAGGACCTTTGATTTTATTGGAGCAAATAGAACCGGGATGGTCGTTCAAAGGGAAAGAGAGAGATCGAATTTGACCGGCAATCGGACGAGGGGGTGATCTGCACTTGCAGCCAGAGAGGGATGTTGCCGAGGGGTTGGCAAGGATTCATTCATATCGCGAACCCGTGTCTCATTGTCGTGTCGACGTGGCGGACAAAGAGGGTACAGGGGATGTGAAGTGCTGTCAGGAGCAGCGCACTCCATTGCGCGACACAAATGGCAACCAAAAGTGGAGCTGACGGAAAACGAGAGCTCCGAGCGGAATAGCAAGAAATTATTTCACCGTGTCACGGAACGTGCACGTAGGCTCCGGGGAAAGTGGATGTAGCGAAAGGCAAATTTAAATATTTGGAAATTACAATGTTAATTCGAAAAATGAACTCGCGAATTGGTTCAAAAGTTTTATTTTCTTAAAAATATATTTTTACCGACTATTTCGTTACGGAAGCTTTGATATTTTCTTTGATTAAACTGACTCGAAGTAGCGTTTATTACGGATACATTTTCTAGATAACAAAGCACCAGATATCGAAATGTAAAATAGCAATCTTTCGATCGGAAGCTATTTACGGCAAATTGAACGTGATTCTAGCAAACAAGCACCCTAGAATCGGACAATAATCTGCAGCGAAGCACTTCCTCTTCCGTTCTATTACACAACTGCTTGCAGCGCCGGCCACCGTACACTCGTCGATGTTAATATCGAAGAAAATATTCGAGTAGCGGGAATAACGGCGGGTAATGGGGTCTCTCCATATATTCACGTACACGTATCGGTCCTGTACTCGATTCACAATGCCACTTGTGTTATCCAAATATCTCGGATATCCGTATTAACCGTACCAAAGCCGATATCTTCATTATCCGAATAACGCAACAACGTTTCAAACCGAATAATTCTCGGACGTGCTGTTATACCTTGGAAACTTCGTTTAATCCCTTTTCACTATTCGTTAATTAAACCGTTAAATACGAACGGTGAATATTCATATCAGAAATACGAATTTGAAAATCTGAATGTTCCGCATGCGTCCAAATCTGAATGTTCGAAAAATCTACGCTAATTTTCGTAAAAAATACCTTCGCGTAAGAGCCGTTCAAAGCGATAATTAAAAAAGAAGATACGAAATTTATTCATGAAATTAAAAAAAAAAATATGTCGGCTACACCTGTAGCCTGATCAGAATTCATCTCGCTCGTTCGCAACATCTTCAAACGCTCGAAGGCTTACGCGATGTTTGCCGAGATGCGTTGTAAAGGATATCTCATTTTACTTGCAAAACGCTGGCTGCCTTCATCAGTTTAACTCCTCATCTTCCTCCGTTGTGTACCGCGAAGATTTATATTCTTCTTGAATTAACGCTCTGTTGCAACTAAATCCTGCCCCGAGATAAGGTGGCTACCTTTTTTTCTTCCGCGAACAAACAAATTCGCTGATCGCGGCAACGAAAGAATTAACGCAACGAGAGAGAAGAAACTCGTACGAGAGGGGTATTTGGCACGAGATCCCGTGCATTTCCATGTAATATAAGAGGACGTGTCGCGAGAGGAAATTTATACGGTTATTTGTCCCATAGGCAGGCGTACGCGTCGAGGCGAATGGACTCTGCGAATGGTCTATATATCTTCCCTTCGTTGGCTGCCCTGCTTCTCTCCGCTCCGTTAAGGTCTGGCCAGCCTGTACACGCGCGCGTACTCGCGGCTACGCTCCTCATACGGATAACAAGCCCGTCATTTTTTCTTATTTCCAGCTGGACGCGCCCGAATACTGATTTATTTCAGACCCATCTGAAACCTGGATCATTCGTTTCTCTGCTCTGCAGGAATAACACGACCTCTGCTATTTTATTCGATACTGGAGCTGCCCAATTAGTAAAAACATAAGGAAGCTTAAATTAATACGATGTCGCTTGATCATACAAAATCCAGAATGAAATTAATTAATTACACGTACCTCAACCCCTTAAACTACAATGGAGTCACAGTATTTTATTTCAGACTTTAATTTTCAGACTACAATTACAATTTGCACAAAGGTGGAATAGAAAGCCGAAATATTTTACCTTTCTTTGCTCATATTAATATTGTAAACCGTGTTCTGTTAGTCTAACGCGTCGAATAAATCGTAGGCCAGGAGGTGCAGCATTAAAATTCAGATACGAAAGTTTGACCGTTGCGCGGTGAAATTTTTCGCAAAAGAATTGCAAATTTGTCGGAACGCTGTGCAACGTGTAAACATTTGAGCCGGAAATATTTATTACTCCTCGTTGCAGCGCAGTTTTTAGTTGACAGGAACGAAAAAGCATTCATTTACTGTTTACGATTAATTCAATGAAAGAGAATGGGAAAATCGTAAAAATATTTGGATATTCTGAAAATCGCGCAACGTAAAGTACGTAGAATATTTTCCGTTTATTTTTCATGTCCTCTCTCGATGTTTCAGCCTGCGCGCTGTTTGTTCATTAATACGACAACACGAGTATCAAAGCTAACATTTTTTTGCAAATATTTAACGCTGCACAC